CCATTTGAAATCTATGATATTAAAGCATTTAGAGAAGATGGTGGCAAGCCCGTAAGTTGTTGTTGTGAAAGGCGGTTGAAGAGCTCAAGGAATCTCTGTGTCTATCCACTCAGGGTTTCAGGATAAAGGAGGCAGCAGCAGCAGCAGCAGCAGCATTAGGTCTCTGGCATTTCTGGAACTACCAATATGAAGATGTGTTTTTTCACTGGCAAGGATCCACAGGGGTTCCTAAGGGTTTCCATTACAATGGTCTCCAGGAGACCAGGGCCTCTATCTAGGACAGTGGAGAACATGACCAGAGGCTTCTCCTTCTCACACACCAGGGGTCTTGGCTTGACAATTAACACTTGCATCACTAGTTCACAAGGCAGATGGAGCCGAGGTTACTCACTGCAGCAGGTGGCAGGAAGGAGGCTAGAGTCACCTGAACTACTTTCCCCACAGATATCAGCTACTAGTGTGATGTTCTTGTTAAGATCCAACAAATTCATCTTCTTTTTCTTTTTTTTTCTGGATGCAGGACTGATGGACAGATAGTCAGCAGTTCCCACCCTGAGATGACTCCACAAATCTCATTTCTTTTCTTCTACTTCCCCACCATTACCATGCGTGCTGCCAGAGACACTCTGATAGCTCCAGGTGGATCCTTATGTGCATAGTTTCCCCCTCTCTCCCTTTCCTGATAGACTCAGGTCTTGTGAGAGCTTTTGAGGATGGGTAGCAGAGGCTCATCATACCTCCTGAGCGGCTTCTGAGCCCTTGTTGAAGAACAGTGTGATTACGAAGGGAAATCTGAGAGCTACCATTTGAAAGTGGACAAAGATTCTGTGGTTTCCTTTAAAATTCCTCTTCACCGTGAAGTCTGGTTTCGTTCACTCAAGGGGTTGCGTCATCAGCGTGTTATTTTGATCTTTACTCCCAAAGAGGCTGTTGTTTAAGATTCAGGATTTATGTGATTGGACAGCTCTCCTGAAGTTCAGTAAATAATCCTGAGCGTCTGGCATCTCCTGCTATCACAGCTTTGGGGTCAAGGTTGGATTTTATAACTGAAATCAGAGGCTGGCATTTCCCACACATGTTTTGAGGCTTCATAGATGAGGGGCACTGAGGTGAATAAAATGATCACCGTAGAATTGATCCAAAATGTTAGTGTTTTCAGACAGGAAAAGAAATTAAGCACCTTCTTAAATTTAACAATAGTTTTCAGCTTTTCTAAAGAAATTGGAGGTCAAGCCTTGGATTTATAGGACCCATAACATTCCTGGAACAGACATCTAAAAATGCACTTTTGATGACTGTATGGACCCTAAACTTGAGGAAAAGAACCAAGTCAATCCATCTTACCTTAGACTAGGAAACTGTAGTTCCCATATATGCAAATGAGTGGCATATATGCAAATGAGTGGCACATTTGTAAATGAAGGCATTAGTATGGAGAGGCCAAAGCAAAATTGAAGAATTCTTCTTCTTTTGGGGATGATTTCAGGTGAACCACTTGTGGCATGATAGGCATGTTGTTGTTCTATGGGTGGTAGAGGATAGAGCTGGAATTCTGTCATCGATGGTGATGTCATTCAGCTGCACACTCTGGATCCACTGAGAAGAAAATTGCCGCCAAACAGCCGTGTAGTTTTTCCATGGCAATTTCACCAGAGACCTACCCTCTTGGTTCTAGGAGTGGGTGATTCCTCAACAGAAGGCATGGGAGGGGGAGGGGCTGCATGGGGGAAGGGAGTGAAGCAGTCTTACAATAATAAAAAAAATATATTGTCATTAAGGAAGATGCCATTGGCACATTTCTTCTTCGGAAAGCCAACTTCTTTTGAGATAAAATAAACAGTTTCCTTGAAAGACAAGGGAGACCAAATTCTCTAAAGGACAGCATGTCAGGTCTACTACAATAAGCTGCTCTGGAAAGTGTCGCCTGGGTAAAAGGGTTCTTCTGGTGGACTTAGCTTAGGAAGCCCAGAGTTATCTTGGTCTTCAAGTGCTTCCTTCCTGCCTGCTGTAAGGGAAAGTTACTTCTTCCTATTTATGGAGGGCAGCAGTGCCTAAGCAAGTAGACCCTGACTTTTGCTTCCACTACTCAGTGTCAAAGTACTAGCTTCTCTGGGTTAGGAGAGAACAGGGTTGCAGCTGCAGGGTAAGACCCACCCTGGCACAGTAAACTGAAGACAAGAAAAAACTGATGTTTGACATCTCTAACTTCTCACATCAGTCCCCTCTGTCCCCCATGCGACGCTCACTGGGAATCATTTGAAACAGGATTTCTTCTTACCACTTCAACAGGGGAAGGACCCATCATTGTCTCTCTAACTTGAACCCCCATCCCCTTCTATCATACAAGGTTACTGAGATGTTCCTTCAGCATGAGGGGGTTGGGTTTCTCACCGGGATGCAGCTGGCCACAGCAGAGACCCAAGAAGAGGAGGGAGCCATGCAGGGAAGTTACACAAGGACAAAGGAAACGCTCATCACACAATGAACAATAGAATTTCAAGGCCAAGGTCCTTTCATCTGAGTCACTGTGACTAGCCCATGACCTCTTCTGTGTCCTGTGACATTTATTCTCTTTTTGATATTTATGACTGTCCATCTTCCTCTTCTGCTATGCACGTTTACCTTGATGTTTCTCTTATCTAGAGAGAAAAACTATCTGGAACTAGAGAACATGTTCTTAAAGGGAAACAACAGAGCAGGCAGGAGATATAGAAAGGAAGGAATGGCTTCTTGGTGCCAGAATAAATGGGACCTTCTTAAAGCCAGCCTGATGAATAGCTATCGCAGTTGTAGGGCCAGCCTGCCCATAAGCCCTGACATAAATCCTCTGCAGTGAGACCATGAGAGAGTTTCTTTCCATGCCTATCGTTTGACATAGGTGAGAAGCCTTGTCCTGTATGAGGCAGGTAATTTTGGGGATTTGGCAAAGCAAACTCAGAACTTCATAAGCAAGGGAAGGAGAACAAAATGTGTTTTCCTTGTGTTCATACTGTTCGTTTCTTTAAAAGTGTGTGTGTGAAAGAGTGGTGTGTGGAGGTGCACCCCTTTAATTCTGCATGCAGCAGGCGGATGCACGTGAACATTATGGATGCCATAGAAAAGCCTTGGGTGCCATCCTTAGGAACAACATCCACCTCATTTGAGGTGGGGTCTCTCATTGGCCTGGAGCTGCCCAGTTAGGCTACACTGGTTAGCCACTGAGCTTCAGAGAGCCTCCTGCCTCTGCCATTGGGTGTATGGGCCACCACATCTGACTTTGACATCGGTTCTGGGGATTGAACTCAAGTCCTAAGGCTTGCAAGTTTACTAAGTGAGTCATTTCTCTGGTGCATGTTTCTTACCTTGAATGGGAATACACTTCTGGGTTAAGAAGCTGAAAGGTTAGGCTGCCCTCAGAGGAAAGCAGACAACTTCAGACAACTAGTCTCACTTTTCACTAAGAGAATTCCTAAAGTAGAATGACATCATCATACAGAAGCTGTCAGGTAGCATACAGCGAGATGAGGTGGCATAGTCTACTGTTAGGAGACAAAGCTATATCACCAGTATGAAGGGGATATGTGAGGAACATGGGCTGAGGCAAAGTGGGGGGACTCTTGAGTCATACTAGACAAACTGCCCGGTCTCTGGGCAGGACCAGAGTTGGATGCCTGGTAGACACCTGGGCACCATCTACAAAGACTGTAGGGCAAACAGCTGGGAAGGGGAAAAAAAAAATCAAGCTTCTAATTCTTGTTTTTAAGAAGTTAGATGACCTTTCCTCTTAGGTCTCTGAGAAAAAGAAAATAATCCATACCTCTTCGCATTGTCAGAAGTGTAAAATAGTGCTGTTAAGACCTTAGGCACAGTGCTTGGCACATCATAAATACTCAAAAATTAGAAGCCACTATTGTTAATAAATATCATGTGTTCCATAGCTGTTTATTGACTTGGTGATGTTGCAGGAGACCAACGACATGAAGTAATGGCAAAACAGAAAGAATGGATGCAAAGTAGCACCATTTGCTTACAACTCCTCTCTCTCTCAAAAGCTAGGGCTTTTCTTGCCATTTCTATGAGACCCAAGAGGTCAGTTTCTACGCTGAGAGGCACCTGGAATTCTGCCTTATAAAAGCCATGTGCTTACCATCTGATTGCAAACCCTTTCTTTTAAAAAAAAAAAAGAAAGAAAGAAAGAAAGAAAGAAAGAAAGAAAAATAGGAAAGGGAAAAAGTTAAAACGAGTACACAAAGCAGTTGATTCAATAAAGAGCTTTTGGTGAGTGTTCATTCCAGGATAATAAACCAAGCGAAACGTCTGGCTGTGTTTAAAAACAACAAAGCCAGCAGGAAAGGCAGAGAGACGGGAAGAAGTGATCAGCTTGTTTTTAAAGCTGCCGACTGTGCTGCTTCAGCAGGGACTGGTGCAGAGCAGCCCCCAGAGAGGAGAAAGGAGACAGATGCAGACAGGATGGAAGCCTGGGGCAGGGGAAAGAGGAATGCAGATGTGGCCTAAGCGCCCTGCAGGAGAGCTTTATGCCAAGGTTAGAGGTCTCTTCAGAAGCCTCTGCTACTACTAGGAGCTACACAGCCATAGAACGCAATGATAGCTCATGTTTGGAGCATTCCACCATGTGCCCCCCCCCCCCCCGGTCCAAACTCTTTAATTATTCTCCCCGTCCTATAGGTGAGGAAACAGATTCTGAGAGGCGATGGCACTTGCCCATAGCTGCCATTTGACTCATCTCTGAGCAAAGAGCAGTGTGTTGCATTTAGCTCCGGACGGCTAAACAGCAAGACCTGCTAACCAGCTAGGTGCCACCTGGGGAATGCAAACCCGGAGGACGTGTGTTGAAAATGACAGATGGTGCATTTAAACTCAACTCATGTCTAGGAAAAGCCAGTCATAATGTCATCAGATGAAAGGACTTTTGGTGCCAATCCACATGCAATGGAGGACCAGGCTGCCCCGGAAATGTCTTGATTGAGAGCAATCAAAATGCCCCGGGACGTGCGCCATACCGATGGTGCAGTGTTCGCCGTTCCAGCCGGGGCTGCATTCGCACTTGCCATCCCGGCAGGTCCCGTGTTCTGCACAGCGTGGGTGGCAGGCCCGTTGGTCACATGCGGCCCCCATCCAGCCATCTTCACAGCGGCAGGTACCTCCTACACAGACGCCATGGCCGCCACAGTCAGCAGCACAGATCTCTGTGGGCAAGAAAGAAGGGCCAAGGGGCAGGGGTGGGAGGAGAGAGAACAAAAGCTTATTAAGCCAGTTGTTGCTGGGAACAAGGGTCACACTTGGCCACCTAGTTGGGCTCTGTGAGCAGTAGGGATTCCAGTGGCTTGGTGGAGTAATCTCCACAGCCAGTGACCCCGAAGAACAATGCTTCGACAGAAGCCTGCCAGCCCTAGCTTCCTCACCAGAAGAGCGGGATTGTGCAGCTTCGCTCTATTTGCTTTTCCCTATTGCTGTCTGTCCCTGCTTTTGTGCTTGCCACTTCCAAAGGGGACCGGCCTTCTGAACAGATGTGAGAAAAAGTCAGATTTAATTAAAAACCAGTTATGTGTGAAAACAAAGCGAGGGTGAGTCCCTGTCGCCAAATGAAGTGCTTGTGGGCCTGGCGAGGACCCCATGGAGGTTCCCTGCAGCCTTCACTCCAGTGGAAGCCGCCTACGGAAAGCTTGTGTGTGTGTGTGTGTGTGTGTGTGTGTGTGTGTGTGTGTGTGTGTGGAGAGAGAGAGAGAGAGAGAGAGAGAGAGAGAGAGAGAGAGAGAGAGAGAGAGAGAGAGAGAACTAGCTAGCTGCTGGTCCACTCACGGGGTTTTCAGTGTGGTCCCCCAACTACGCTTTGTCCTATGATGCTGGGTTTATTCTCTGTCCTTCAGCTTGATGCTCTCCCTACCACCACCATCTAAATGAGCTTTTAGTTCCAAAGTAAACAGCTGGGGGAGGAGGCTACTTCATGGCCAGAGTGGAGCCGCCTTGTCCTTCACAAAGGCTGGTCTGTGTGGGTGCAAAGCACACAGGGCCTGATTCACAAGTCCCCTGGGCTCCAGGCCAGCAGCTGCTTCATGCTTACTGAAAACTGAGACCAAAAGGTTTCTAAACTGCAACTGCTTTTTAGGAAATTTGTATAGCACACATACCCTGGGATCTTGATTTCCAGGGCTCTGATGGAGGCCTAGACTTGACTGACTCATGGCCAAAAAGTCTTCCAACATATGTGAAAATTCCAACAATTTAAATTTCTTTGCAACCGGGCTAAGTGGCACCTGTGTCAAACTGTCTCCACCCATCTCTCCCTTGCAAGAGGCACTGCTGGTCTAGAAGCTGCTGATGTTCTAGGAATGTTTACTAAAGGAAAGAAAACAGGCTGGGAATGCTGAGTAAGAGTGCTTGCCACGTAAGCCCGACTCTTAGTGTGTAACCCTGGACGGTACCAAAGCTGGGCATGGCTACAAACGCCTGTAGTCCCAGAGTCACCCAGCCGGCCAGTCTGGTTGAAAAGGGGAGCTTCGGGTTTAGTGAGAGATCCTGTCTACAGTGGAATATGGTAGATCGTGTAAAACATGCACATGTATGCACGCACATGAACATACACCCCAGAAAAAAACATAAAATTGGATCTCAGTGGTTCTGACTTTTATTACTAATCTAGAAGATAATAATAAATAATATTGACGATAACAGAAAACGAGCTGGAAAATTTACAAAGCACAGTAAGAACTTCTACCTCTTTTGTTTTCCTACACAGATGTCTTACCAAGCTGCCACCTGAGAATGGTGATTATGGCTACATGCAACTATACATGGCAACTCTCAGCTGTCCAGGGGCAGGGTAGCGGCTACAAATAGGCAGAAGCAGTTGGGACCTGGAGTCAGAGACCAGGATCTATGCTGGACCCAGGGGCTTCTGCACTGTGGGACTATGTAGATGGCCCCTTGGACCCACCGAGCCATGGTTTTTGGTTTAGAGGGTGTGGGCAGTGAAGTCTTGTTACAGAACAGCCCTGTGCTCCTCTGTAGATGGCAGTGAGTGCTCAGGGAAGCGCACAGAGCAGAACACCAAGTAACTCAAGAGAGGGCAGCTCACTTCCCACTGGGCATTCAAAGAGGCTGTGAGTCTTGGCCTGCTCAGTCACTGGTCTTGGGACCCTGGGGTCACTTAGTTCCTCTTCCTGAGTGTCAACTTCCTCATTTACTCTTGGGGGAACTTGATGATGTCTAAAGTCCCTTTGGGCTCTAAGACAGATTTTATGCTACAGTACCCTCCATGTTACACAATATAACCAGCAGGTACAAGGTTCAAGGTCTCTCCTCCTCTAAGAAGTTGTCTGTATGTAATTCACCAGCGGTTAACCTCTTGCTCCTTCCCGCCCCATACCAGAAGGTGATTCTCTGGTCAGCAGCAACCTGGGGCTGGCTCTCCTTCCTCTGATAACCTCTGTTCCTGAACTGATGCTCGTTAAATACTAGACAGATCAAGGTGCTCCATGTGCCTGAGAGTGGAAAGTTGATGTATATGCCTCTCAGCCTGACTGAATGGCTGGGATGCCTGTTTGTCTAGCATCTCTAGAAGACAGGACTATACAACTCAGTGTCATGCATACAGCAGCCCTCCGGGGTGGCATTTCCCTCAGACATCTTGGGATTTCCTAAATAGAAAGAGCAACAACCTTCAGGCTCCCGACATCCTGGTCCTGGGTTAGGTTGCACTTCTGACACTTCCATCTATTTATACACAAAGAGCTGTGCCTCCCTGTGACTCTGGAGGCTGGCTGAGCACCCTGGGAGAGAAGAATGACTAAGTTTGGGTTTCCCAGCACTTTTTCCAAGTGGCAATTGATGGTATGAAAGTAAACAGCAAACAGCCCTTTGTTTGCACTGATATGTGAACCCAGAGACTATGAGCATCTGAGGTCAAGGCAGCAGCTGGGTTTTAGGCAGCAGGGCACAGAGCAGCAAAGAGCCAAGAGCAGAAAAGGCAGGCTTTGCCTTGTGGTTTCCTATGGGCCTTCAGGTCTTAGCTTCAGGTAAGGTCATCTTTGATATTAAAGGAGATTGGTTCTAGAGCCATTAGCCCCTAGAATACCAAAATCCATAGATGTGCAAGTTCCTTATATAAAAGAGCAAGGCATGCTCTCTTAACCTCCTCTATACTTTAAATCATTTCTACCTTAGAGTCATGCCCAGATGACTGTGTTTATGGTTGTTTGCTATATTGTTTAGGGAATAGCAAAAAAAAAATCTTTATTCAGTATAGATGCAACTTCCATTTCCAGTCTGCAGTTGATCCAACCTCCAGATGAGAAGTTATGAACTCAGAATGTGAGCTTCGATTCAGACTGTTAGTAATAAGTTTGGAGTCAGTGCTGACTGCAGACTTCAGACTTGCCAGCCTGGTGACCTGCTCCTCTGAGCTTCCTTTCCATCTTATGTATGGTGGAAATGCTGAAAGCCCCGCTGCACAGGGGACTTAGTGCTTGATCCAGGTATCATCGGATTTCCATGATTCGCTTCTAGTGATCTCCCATACTTGCTTACTCTGAGCCCTGTGCCTAGTGCTGGAAATATACAGGCCAATAAGATACAATTCTGACCAAAAAAAAAAAAAAAAAAATTAAGATAGCCGGGCGGTGGTGGCACACGCCTTTAATCCCAGCACTTGGGAGGCAGAGGCAGACGGATTTCTGAGTTCGAGGCCAGCCTGGTCTACAGAGTGAGTTCCAGGACAGCCAGGGCTATACAGAGAAACCCTGTCTTGAAAAACCAAAAAAAAAAGATACAATTCTGTCCCAAGAGAGTACAAACTGATATTGGCATTCCGAAGAATATTCAATATATGCATACAGCATATAGAGCTCTGTATACATTCATATGCAGCCATTATTAATGTCTGTACCTCTTTGCTTAGTTACAATGGATTAAAACCATGGATCTAAGGAGGAGACATACCCAGGACTTAACTGTGGCTTTGCCATCTACTGACTGAATAAACTGCACTGGACTATATAACCCACTGAGCCTCACTTTGCATTTCTGCAAAATAGGGGTAATAATTCTCATTTCCCTACTCTCATAGGCCTGGTATTAGATCAAATGAGGTAATGTGGGGGAAAGGTATTTTTGATTTAACACTTCTATCAAGTTTCACACCTTCCAAAGCACACTCACATATGGTTTCTCACTAATTCTTATAATAATGTGGTGAGAACGACTTGTTACTGTCCTTAGAGATGTGGCTTCCGAGGGCTAAAAAGTTCAAGGATGCTTGATAAGGTCTCTCAGGCATCTCTTGCATTTTCCTTGTTTTGGAATCCTGGGAACAATGGTGTTCTGAAAAGCATACATTTTTTTTAAAATAGAGTCTCAGAATAAACAAGATACATATCCATCCTCAGAGATCCAGCAGACCCCTCCTACCCACTCCTGGTCCTGGTGTTCTTTTCTTTGTCACATCCAGGTCCAATCCTGGGATCCATGAGATGAAGTGGGGTTTCCCCAGGACGACCCTGCATGCAGAGTTTGATCTGACCACCTAAGCACTCCAGTTTCTTTCTGGTTTATGCTGAACATTCTCTCCTATCACCTAAAGCTGCCTGGTGCCTGGTGGACCCTCCATGGGTCCTTTACAAGCTGGGTTGTGAGCTTTTGTACATTTTAATGGAAGGGGCCCAAACCAGGTGACCTTGATGTTTATGGGGTGCTAACTGATGGTAACACAGAAAAGCCTGTTTGACCCAGTGGAAGGGACCCTCAATGCATGATGGGAGGAGAAACCTGAGACGCTACTTTACCATTTGGCTTCAGATTGTAGTTTCTATCTGCCTCCCTCAGTACTTTTTATTTATTATTTTTGCCCTTGAAATAAAAGGAACTGTTTTATTTTTCCTTCTCAGATTCTGCCTTGACATTAAAGCAGATAAAACTTCACAGAGTGCTTGGTGAGAACCCAACAGGACAATGCTCTAGAATGTGCTTTGACAGCTCATATGCTATTTACATAATAGAAAAGGTCGTCTATGAAAGTGGGTCACAGCTCCTTTGTAAACCTCAAGTTTCTTCTTTCTAAATGGGGATGGGGTGGGGGTGGCACCAGCCACTTTAGAGAGTAATGTGGGACTCACTCTCGCATGGGTAATTTCTTAAGTGCAAAACTGACATTGGGCTTGAGGAGCTAAACTTGACAGATCTTGCTTTCCTA